GCATATTTGTAATGTGGGGGGACACATTGGTGGAGGGGTCTGGGGGGTCCTCCCCCAGAAAATTTTGAATATAGTAGATGCCATTTCCTGCATTCTGGTTTATTTTAAATGGGTTGTTTAACATCTAGTTTTACCTACAGTAGGGCATTAACAGAGTACTCGAGTAATCTACACATCGATTGCTAGGACATCTATCGAGGTTAAAAATGTTATGTCGAGTATCCGTAGTGACGTCATACTATGTGACCACTATATGACCGTAGGGGGCGGTGTTGCACTGTTGCAGGTCACAGAGCTTGGTGTAACACCGGGTCCAATCCACCGAACCAGAACCAGTTTCGGTTTAAGTTTCGTTTTTGACATGCTGCATGTTTCTTGACGTTTGCAGTTTAATAATAATAACTAATAGTTTAGTTTTTCCTGTGACTTATTTGCAGTATGATAAATGGTAGGAGCATAATATACGCTCCCAATGTTTTGTTGGTCCTTTTTTTTTGTAAATAATTACCCTTTTTTGCAGTTTTATTTATTTATTTATTTTTGTATCTTGAGATCTATGACGTCATCAAATACTCGAGTTCTACTCGGGTTTTATTATGTTAATGTCGAGTTTAAAAATTATATACTTGTTCAACCCCTAACCTACAGAAAACACTTGATTCAATAGCTATTTTAGAGTTAATGGCACAACAAAAAGTAACCTGACCAACAGCTCTCCTTGTGCATGCTCTGCTTCTCTCACGCATCCTAGTCACAGTCTACGAAACATAGAGTAGCCTCAGTTAACATTTAGGGAAAACATATTACTAGCCAATATGAAACGACAATAATAATCACTCCTTCTTTCTAATAGCCTAGCATAAAGCAACCTGATCCTCATCCATCATGTTTATTAATAGCTTAAAGTACCTAATTAAAACTCCAGTACTGGGCTAGGTCTACTGTAACCTTACCCAGTTGTAGGGTCAAGAAGCAAACGTGTAGCATTAACACAGTATGAACAACATTCAGGATTTGTTTCTATAAAAACATTATCAAATATTTTACATGGACGGTAAAATCGCTCCGCCCACACCCAGGGTGAGCTAACCTCGGACAAACAAACAAACAAAGATAGCTGTAATGTGGAGGTAGTGAAGCTCATGGCGTTATCTGAGGAATTTAGGGAGACATTATGCCTTATCGACCAACATTAAGGCAAAGAAAACAGAAAAAAATCCAAGCTGCTAATAACTTAAAATAGTTACTGCAATGGATGCTTTCATGTCACAAAGCGACACACAGGGCAAGAACTCACAGTGAAATTCAATATGTAAGAGTGTTAATTTCACAATACACAACCTATTAAACTTCTTTCGGCTTTTCCCTCTTCAGGGGTAACCACAGCGAGTCATCCTCCTCCATCTCACTCTGTCCTCCGCATCCTCTGTTCTCACTCCAACTACCTATATGTCCTCTCTAACTGCATCCATTTATCTCCTCTTTGGCCTTCTGCTTTGTCTTTTTCCTGGCAGCTGCATTTCTAGCATCCTTCTGCCAATATACTCACTGTCCCTCCTCTGGACATGTCCAAATCATCTCAGTCTGGCCTCTCTAATTTTATCTTCCAGTTGTTCAACCTGTGCTGTACCTCTGATGATCTAATTCCTAATCTTATCCATCCTTGTCACTTCTAAGGAGAACATCAACATCTTCATTTCTGCCACTTCCAGTTCTTTCTCCTGTCTTTTTGTCAATGTCACTGTCTCCAGAACACACAACATAGCTTGTCTCACCACCATCTTGTAAAATTTTCCTTTGATCATCCAGATATACACCAAGCGCTACTGTTTGCTAACACTTAGCATGATAAAAACGGCTACATGTCATGGGATTAACTTACTTACCACCTTTGTTTGATGTTGTACGACTGTAAACCTCTATGATAAATCCACAACACCAAATATTATTCCTCGGTATGTGATGAAATATGCAGTATAAAACATGGAAAACGCTAGAAGTCAAGGTTGTTTGTAGCTACTTAGCTCCTTCAAACTTAGTTCGCATGTAGCGCTGAAACTCCAGAAGATGCTGATTGGCTGGAATGAAAGTTTGTCTGTGATTTCATTGGATGAACTTTTTACCTCTTCGTAAACTTCCATTGTCGCTACACAAATCACGTGACACAGGTCTGTTTTGACCGGGGGGAGGGGGGTTTCCATCCTCCACTCTGCACGCATCAGGCGCTGTATACAGACTGTACAGACCACTGCGCTTGGGCTGACAGTTTATTATAAAATGGGAGATAACCTTGTGGCCAGTTCGCAACTGCACAGCATAGATTTTTTTGTATACAAGAATGTGCAAGCAGTGCGCGATTGCGCAGGCGCGCAGCTTAGAGGGAACATTGGATGAGTCATTCATATCACAGTGGATGTGAGTAAAACACCACGCAGAGCCAACCCACGGAAAGCTGCCGGACCAGACAACTTTCCTGGCAGAGTGCTCAAAGAATGTGCAGACCAGCTGGCAGGTGTTTTCACAGACATCTTTAACATCTCCTTGAGCAGAGCCTTCGTTCCAACATGCTTCAAGACGACAACACTGCACTGAATAAGTCATCAGTGTCATGTTTCAATGACTATCACCCACTAGCACTCACTCCTATCACCACAAAGTGCTTCGAGAGAGTCGTCATATCAAGACCTTGCTGCCTCCCACCATGGACCCATTGCAGTTTGCGTACCATCCTAACCACGTAACGGACAACACCATAGCCACCACACCTGGCTTCCACACACTTGGACAAAAAAAAGCACATTAGGATGTTGTTCATAGACTTTAGCTCAGCATCATTCCTCAGCATCTGATTGGAAAGCTGAGCATGCTGGGCCTGACCACCTCTCTCAGCAACTGGATCCTGGACTTCCTGCCTGGGAGACCTCAATCCGTCCAGATCGGAAAGAACACCTCCAGCACCACCACACAGAGCATCGAAGTTCCCCAGGGCTGTGTGTTCAGTCCACTGCTGTTTACTCTGCTAACTCATGATTGTACAGCAATGCACAGCTCGAATTCCATCGTAAAGTTTGCAGATGATATGACTGTCAGCAATAACGATGAGTCAGTGTACAGAGAGAAGGTGCAATGGCTAATGAACTGGTGCAAAGTCAACAACCTTTCTCTAAATGTTGACAAAACCAAAGAGATGGTCATTGACTTTAAGGAAACGCCAAGGGACCACTCCCCATTGAACAGCAGTGACTCCTCCGTGGAGATCGTCAAGAGCACCAGAATTCTTGGTGTTCACCTGGCAGAGGATCTCACCTGGACCCATAACTTCAGCGACATCGCCAAGAAAGCTCAGCAGCGTCTCTACTTTCTGAGGAGACTGAAGAAAGCTCATCTGCCACTTCCCATCCTGACCACCTCCTACAGAGAAACCATTGAGAGCATCCTGAGCAGCTGCATCACTGTCTGGTTAGGGACTTACACTGCATCAGACCACAAGATTCTCCAGCAAATTGTGAAGATAGCTGCAAAGATCACCAGGGTCTCTCTTCCATCTCCCATGGACAATTTCAACAACTGTTGCATCTGGAAAACCCTCAGCATTGTGAAGGACCTGCCTCACCCATCACATGGACTTTCTACTCTCCTGTCGTCTGGGAGAAGGTACTGCAGCATTCAGACCAACACAACCAGACTGTGTAACAGCTTCATCCCACAAGCCATCAGACTCCTCAAGTCTGGACTCTGACACACACACACATGATGGACTCTGACACACATAGGATGGACTCTGACACACACATATTATGGATTCTGACACACAAACACACACAAAATAGACTTTGGCACATTCACGATGGACTCTAACACACATATTCATGATGGACTTCTGACACACATTCATAATGGACCCTGACATACACAGACATGATGGACTCAGACACACAAACACACAAAATGGACTCTAGCAAACACACATTCATGATGGACTCTGACACACACACACACACACACACACACACATACACACACTTATGATAGACTATGACACATTCAAGATGGACTCTGATGCCCCCCCCCCCCCCCCACACACACAGATGGACTCTTATCACACAAACACATGAAGGACTCTGACACACACACAACTTAAATACTCACAACTCCTGTGTTGTACTGGTTGTGAGTTCTTTACTTGCACATTTTTACAATCTGCTCAAGTTTTTGCATTTTTGCACCTTACACAGTTTTTATATCTGCTGCTATAAAAACAGAAAAAATTTGTGCTGCTAGACACATATCAGAACATGGTTCTACCTCATGTACCACCTACATATGTACTAATCAATATGTGTCTCTAGTCTTGTCTCTTAATTATTTGTTTACATTAGGTTAGATGTCTTTTTACATTTATTATAGGTCTGTTTGTATTTATTGTTCTGTTGTGTATCTTCAATGTGTGTTATTTTGTTTTGCACGTTATGTTCTGTGTTCACCGTGATCCTGGAGGAACACTGTTTCGTTTCAATATGTACTTGTACGTGGCTGAAATGGAAATAAAACTTCTCTGACTCTCTCATACTTTGAGCTTCTCACAATATCACTTGTGATTATGAGTGTTATTTTCAGGGTTTGGCCTTTGCAGCTATAACTCCATCATTTCTCTACACAAGATGGTCTTATTTAAACTCTGACATAAAAGGTGAATTTCTTAAAGACATGATAGAATTCTCTCCATCTTTTTATTCAGTAAGCTATTTTTATAAATTCTATTTGTTTTCCAAAAAGTATTTAATCATCTGTACTAATACTTTGACATATTACATCTGTAAAACAAAGGCAAATGAAAAGAACATTTTAAATCGACAGAGAGGGAGCCAGGATTTGATCCAGTGTTACTGAGTTTGACCAGCCGGTCTTTGTTTTAGGGAAGTTGGTAGCTTTGAATAATATTGCATGTTAAAATCTGATTTAGCCAACAATACAGAGGTGAGGAAATGTGTTTTACTTACATCTGATTTGGACTGGTCCTCCATATCAGTGTCATTGGGGTCAACCGGCTCCTGGACAGGAGGAAGCCTAGACCCCTTCCTGCGCTCTGCCTCAGTACCGTCTAGTCGTAATCTACTTGTCCCTATTTGTAATCGATCCTTTAGGAGCTTTTTATCCAAATGCTGAGTGTCTGAGCCTGACGTCAGCGTTCTCGAATCCAAAAATACTTTCTTGCATTTTTTAGCCATAAGATTGTCAGTGTCAAGAGAGGACAGGCGCTTGTTGAGCCCTGAGCCTTGGGTCAGTCCCTCGTTCCGATGCTCCTTGGAGAATGACCTGGGTTCCTTGAAGCCTGTTTTAGGATTGTTGTCTCTAAGTGGTTGGTTCTCTTTGGGTTTCCTTGAAGATTCTTTGGGGACTTTGCTGGGTTCCCAGTCAGAGTCTCTGAAGGCACTTTTGGGCTCTTTTAGGTCTTTTGGAGGTTTGTCTTTGTTGTCTTTGGAGGGTTTGTGGAGCTTGGAGAAGCTGTTACTGTTAGTGCTGGTGGTTGTGGCTGTTGTAAGGAGTGCAGTTCCACCTCCTCTGGAGCCATCCTGGTGATTAAAAACACAAATATAATATTTATGAACAACATTAAATAAGTGAATAATGAGCTTTTAGTAAGAATCAATTACTTTCACTCCACCATAAAGACAAATAAGGATTTTGCAATTGCTAAGCAAACTTTTGATACAAAAAAATACTAACTCAGACAGTTTTACAGAGAAGGAACTGAAATTTGGTGGTCAAAGCAAAATTTTTATTTGTAACACATTGCCTTATTTAGAAAGATCTGGATTCTAATGAAACGTTCAATATAATTTGATGTAGGTCAATTCCTGGTTAACTTTTGAAGTCACCCAAACTCAAGCAGTCTAGAACACCCAAGTGATGTTTAGAAACACAAAAATGACCATCTCAGTCAGTGTCAGATATATTAAGCTAATTTGGATGTGGTAGTAGCTGAGAGTCCTCAACAAAACAATAGATCCTGACTACGCATGAGATCTTGCATAACCTCATTTGCAAGGTTGGACCAAAACGGATACAACTTCATCATTTCTGGGCAAAAACTGATCTCAACTGGAACATCTGGTACTAAAGAGAACCAAGGACCAACAGAAACAATCAGTTGCTCTTCACTGCTGTGTTTATTTAAAGTACTGTACATAGTATACTGTGTACATGAGCTTAGTAAAGCTACACAGTATACTGTGTACATAACCTTAGTAAAGCTACACAGTCTACTGTGTACATGACCTTAGTAAAGCTACACTTAGGCAGGCACGGAGGGTATTGTTGGATCCATCCCACATCCTGTATGTGGAATATGAGCTCTTGCCTAGAAGGCATAGAGTCCCAAAAACTAAACTGAACCATTTTAAATATTCTTTTGTGCCCACCTCCACAAAAATTTTGAATCAAAATTTTAAATAGATAATATGTTGAGGCCTGGAAGGTGTGCAAGAGCTTTGGTATTCTCTTGTTTTTTTAAACTGTTGTGTTTGTAGTCTTCGTTTTTAGCTGTTTATATGAATTGTATGTGTATTTACTGTCTGTTTGGGCAGCTGCTACTATACTTATACACCCCTGAGTCCATGACAAATTTCCCCTAGGGGACAATAAAGTATATTCTATTCTACACAGTATACTGTGTACATGAACTTAGTAAAGCCACTCAGTACACATAGTACATGACCATAGTAAAGCTTCACATTATACAGAGTACATGACCTTAGTAAAGGTGACCTTAGTTATATTAAACTTTTCAGACTAAGTTACTACCTTGTAAGCACAATAAGCATTTGTAAACCTATTTTTTTAGGATATAATAATAGTTGTAAATACTTATAATGCAGTGATAAAGTACAATATTATATGCTAAAAAATAGATTTACAAATGCTTATTGTGCTAACAAGGTGGCAGTCTGAAATGCTTAATAAAACAACTCTAGATGAAATATATAGGTGAACAGATCTGGCTCACTATTTGGCAAGAACCTGGTCAGCTTTGTTTCTCTGTCACCCTTAATTAATGCATAATAAGCAGTTATTAATGATTTATAAAGTGCTTATAGAGGAATTAATAACATATCTATAAACTATTTATTAGCCAACTATAAGGGGAGGCTTATTATAAAGTGGCACCCAAAATCTTAATATTTTATTCCAAGTATGTTGCTGTGACTTTTTGTTTTAAAGCTCACTGTGCATTACTGTAACTTTTCAATAGTTTGTGCTACCAGAAAAACCTCTAAAACAGGACTAATTAACTGGTGGCTTACGGGCCACTTCTGGCCTGCAGACCACCAATTTTATGATTCAATGCAGCAAAATATATGAATTTAAAAGGTAACAAATCATTGTAATACTTGGTTAATTTGCATGATGACTTTAATTGCTGGATATCCAGCCCCTGAGCTGCTGGCTTTCAGTAATTGTGGCCCCCAGTGCAGTTTAGTTGAATAGCCCTGCTCTAACAGTTTCTGGGAGCTGAAAACTTGCATGTTACAGCCAATATAGACTTATTACTGTAACCTGACTGAATCTGTGTCCCTACTCCCACACAGACACGGTATTAACAGGCGAGCTCAGCCAGCTCTGGGCAAATGAGGGACATCAGGGTATTCCACCTCTCCTCATGTGGGATGTGGAACAGGAGAAGCAAAATAATCTGGAACAGTCCCGCCCAAATCGGGACAGTTGAAACCCCCCCCCCATTATTACAGATGATGGAAATCCATCGTGGGGACAAAGAACTTCTGTCGATGCCTATTTCACTTAGTTGTTCACAAGACAACCTCGAGGCAAGATCTGGTTGTCCAAGATAAAGACCGGCTGTCTCAGACAAACAAAAACCACTTGCGTTGAACCCTGATATTAATAACATTTATGACAGATCCAGTTTGCTTTGATGTTAAACTATTGGCAGCTGCTCACAGCTGCCAATAGTTCAACTTCATCCCTACTGACCACCAGAGGGCGGTGCTAAATGTTCCCTTCTTGCATGCGCCATTCGAGTAGTAATTCCAACGGAGTCACAAGTGTGACATATAGGGCTGAGAACGAACCGAGGTTCTTTTATGGCACCGACCGAACTGCACCGGTTGGTGTATGTATTGAAACGTCACTCTTCTTTCGGTGTTAAGTTTCGGTATTGGCTGTAACGTGTCACGTGGTTTCAGCATGCAGGCTGGTAAAACACCAGACATATGGCAAACAGACTACACCCAGATTACACCCAGAGCTGTATAGAGCTGCCGTACCTAATCTATGTATACTGTAATGTATGTCTATATTGCTGGTGACGCCCACAGATGGGTTCACGTGTGCAGCGCGTGTTGTCGAACGGCTTTGACAACATGCGCTGCAGAAAGTTGTTACATGTTTTTCTGCGAGGAGAGAGGAGTTCATCAGCCTCCTCTCCTCCTCTCAGCATTAAAGTCAGCCTGTGAGAGCCTGAACGTCCTGATTCATTATCTCCACGACTGGACTCTTCATCAAAGAACTCCGAGGACAGCTCTGTGTGCTTCAGCTGGTGAGTTTACGTTTGTTAGCGTAACTGCAGCTTAACACATACATCGCGGTGAAATAAATTATGATCCATGTAACGCTAACTTTAAGATATTAGTGTGTAAATTTATTTTATCTACGTGGCTAGCTAAACTCAGAAGCTAACTAAATATTGACAGTAACATAAATCTTAGCTTGTAAAACTGCTCATCCATCCAGTCAGCTGCTTAAACAGTTCACCTAATGTTCACTGTTTATGTTAATGTTCTCCTCACAGGAGGTTCTGACCCTGATGTGAGGAGGACAAAAGAAAAGCGAGGTGGGGGTGCCACAGGAAAATCACAAACTTTGTTAAAAGTTTGCTGCTTTTTCTACAGTCGAGCTGCACGGTGGAGGTAAGTAAAGTGTAAAGGATTTTGTTGACCAGTTAAACTTTTATCTCTCAGCCTAGATAATGTTTTTTGAGTAATATTAACACAACCATGTTATTGTTGATGTTTTGTTCTAATGTCAATTAGGGAGATGATCAGAGCCCTAAACCCCAGAGAATCACAGAGAAGATTCAGGCAGAGACACAGAGGTGCAGATGTCTACGTCATCCCTACCTCAGTGAATCCAGTGACCTGCTGGTGGAATGTGAGGGACAATATGTCAGTGCTATCAAACTGACAACCAGGTATCTATGTGTGCAACAAGCATCATCCACACCCTCAGAGTGAACATTTTCTACTGCTGGAAACACCATCAGCCAGGAGCGGGCTTGTTTGTGTCCAGAGAAAGCAGATATGTTGATTTTTCTGAAGAAAAACTGTTCAGTGAAAAGGTCCTCAGTGTGTAGCAGTGAGCATTAGACACTGAAGTGTCAATGGTTTGTAACTGGTCTTTTGAACTGGAAATTATTTGTTTGCTTTTATGTAAGAAAACTGCTTGGAATAGAAAAATACCAAAGTTAAAAAATAAAACTCACAATTTGTACTGTAATGTGTAACGTAATTTTATTCTTGTTAGAATTAATAGTAATTACAAAATTGGTACCGAAAAAAGAACCGTCCAGGAACCGACACCGAAGTGAAGGTACCGACACCGGTACCGATTTTTTTAGAAAGGTACCCAGCCCTAGTGACATATCGGGTGATATGGCCTGACATCACCCAATGATCTGCTCATTTTCTATTCTTGTGTGCAGTTCATTGCATGGCATCAGCCCTTTGGACCTTGGACCTTTTCAATGTCATCAGTGGCCCAACTGCTTGTTGGCTAGTAGTGTGCTCGCCCTCTTAGGGGCTGTGACCGTTTAGCCTTTGTTCAAAGTATTTCCGCTGTTCATTGAGGACTACGGTGGTTTTCGCCCCCCTCCCAACTTGCAGCATCTGACTACTGTGCGTGTGATTCAACACTGGTGAGTAAACATTTACTTATAGTTTACTTTGGTTAGCGGTAGCGTTATGCTCTGCTCCCCTTTGTCGGAGGTTTCCAACCACGTGGTCAATTTGGATTTTGCTCCGAAGTTTGTTGTTGCTAACATAGCCAGCTGAGTTTCTGGCTTTGTTTTGATTGGTGAATGCACGCACTCGTGCACCCTGTCTCAATTGTTTTTCACCAACCTCATAACCAATTGCACTGAACTAGTGGTGCAAGCCTTTCTGAGTTCTGGTCTTGTTTTAATTGGTGAAGGAAAGCATTCCAATTATCCTCTTTTAACCAGCTAAGCTAGTGGTGTTAGCCTGTCTGAGTTCTGGCAGCCTGTCTGAGTTTCTTTGCCCTGTTAATTGGTGACGGCAAGCGTACATGCCCCCTCTCCCAATTCTCGGCCTATCCTTTCATCCTGGACTGGACGTAGCTGACTGCATCAGCCTCCTATCCCGAGCCTATTCTGCTTCTTTTCTTTTATCGGTGACAGCAGTGTTTTTGCCCTCTCCCGGTTTCCCTTGTTTTCATCCTATATCCTGGATGTAACTGGCATTGTCAGCCCCTTTGTTGAGTTGCAGTTTTTTTACTTTGATGCGGCTAAGCTGCCTGCGGTCGAAGTAAGGAGCCTGGA